TTTTTTTTTTTTGGATAGAAATAACTTAGGATTGTTTAAGAAATATTTCAGTGTTTTTAGTCATGTGTAAGAAAAGGTGTGGTATAGCCTCAACTGTTTTAGTAATCAACAGTTTAATTGGCAAAATGGTAACTTGCTATACATATATTTTGTACTGAGTGCATGTGAAATTTTGTCTCCTGGGTCTTCAGTGCTTCAGAAACTGACACATTTAGGTTTGGCAGAAAGGCTATTGTGGATGATTTGATTTCTCTATAGAGGGTGTACATCTGTAGTATTAATTTTGTATAAATTGAACTATTAGGCATATGTGATATATAATAATTACATTGTAGCTTCTTGGATGGTAAAATTTAGGTTATGTTACCATAGAATTAAAATTCAGAAAATGAAACTTTTTTTTTTTTTTTTTTTTTTGAGACAGAGTCTCACTTTGTTACCCTTGGTAGAGTACTGTGGCATCACAGCTCACAGCAACCTCAAACTCTTGGGCTTAAGCAATTCTCTTGCCTTAGCCTCCTGAGTAGTGGGACCACAGGCACCCGCCACAGTGCCCTGCAATTTTTTGTTGCAGTTGTTATTGTTGTTTAGCTGGCCTGGGCAGGGTTTGAACCTGCCAGCCTCGGTGTATGTGGCCAGTACTGTAACCACTGTGCTGTGGGCGCTGAGCCCTCCCTTTCTCTTTTCATACTTAAGCATATTTTGTCTTTGTGCTGAAGTGTTAAGTATCTGTATTTTTAGCAGTGTTTTTTATTTGCATTACTTTTGTATGCCAAATAAAGCAAGCTGAGAATGGTTTTATGACAATTCAAGTATGATTTTTTTCTTTATATTCTGCTTTAGTTAATTGGTATTTGTAGACATAGTATTATAAAAATGAAGCGAAAGTTGGAAAGCTCTAGAATTTCATTTCTTTCTTGAAACTGTGCAGACTTAATATATTTTCTTAACAACATGTAATGAATTCATCAATACGTTATTGACATATATATTGATATAATTTTATATTTGTAATTTACGATTTATGTATGATTGTGGGTTTTTTTGAGACATAAACTCCAAACTTCTTTCTTTCTTTCTTTTTTTTTTTT